CTTTTAAAAAGGGTTCCCACAAATTATTAACATTGCTCCACATCTTTGTTTTGTAAGGATCCAGATAAAAGTTTGCATATACCAGGACCTCATTCTAAAGCATGTGTGAAATAAGTTTATCATTTCATCCAAAGTTAAAACTGTGGACATCAGCAATTTGAATCTTTCACAATCAAGCTTTTCAAATGAGAAAAGGAAAACCCATTTAGGTAACTGCAGATTTCCCATGTGGGTTTTCGGTACCCGACCAGAAAAATATTGGATGTAACTTAGATAATTTAAATAGGTGCATGATTGTATTATGTAATTGTTGCAGCTGAAAGAGCAAAACCTGCTTGCATGAATGGGTGAGAATGGGTGAATGAGACAAGTTGTGTTGTGAGTGCTCAAATAGAGTAGAAAAGCGCTATGTAAGAACCAGTCCATTTACTTTAAACATTACTATTTAATATATCATTATATTTACAAAACAGTACATTTCAAGCTCTTTTGATGCTCCATGTTTATATTTTAATGTTGGCACATAACTTATGTGGCTGTTGGTGAAAAATCAAAGTGTCTTTTGGAATAAATAAAAATCTTCCAGTGTGGCCAAAGCCAACTCAGTGCAAAACGTCTCATCTGGCAAAGACACCAAGCGGTCCAGAGAGATGTAGTTGGGCAGGGTTGGATCATACTGAGCTTTTCCAAGATACTCGAGGAACAGGTGGCGCTCTCTGAGGCGCAAGTACTTGGAATTGAGGACCTGGAAAAAGATGTCAGATACTGGAGTTAGAATTCCTCAAAACAGCCAAAGAAAATCAGTTCATAGTACTTTAAAACTTGAAAATATGAGTGCAAGAGAGACCTACCTGTGGGAACTTGGTGATAAGGTGGTGGGGTACTTTCATGGTGTTGTGGATGAAGTCAAATATCTCTGTCAGCTTCCTTTTATTGGCAGTCAGAAGTTTGGGCACAGCGAGAACTATGTGCTGGATCTCGTTTCTCTTAAAGCCAAGCTCTATTTCACACACCTGTAGAGTAAATCAACAAAATCTACTGAGAACAGCACATCTAAAACTGACAAGTTCTAATAATGTCTTCTGTTTTTTCTGTACCTTTAAGTTTTCTTTAACGGGCTCCAAACTGCCACACAGTAACCTGGGAAGACGAGCTACAATATTCCGTGTCTGGGGAGAAATGCAAAACAACCTATAAGCTGTAATAACACACTATAACAAAAGCATAATAGTACGGCTCATATCTTATATCTCCTATCATAGCTGCATACATTGTTAGCACTGAGGCTAAGTTGCTGCTGATAAAAACCCAATCTGTTGTCCAGCCTGTTCACGCTGAAGTTGAGCAGATAAGGAGCTCTGGACACCATGGACGCAACCGTCTCTGAACTGAAGTTCTTTGACTTGAGGTAGTTCACCCTACACAAATGATGAGAAAGAGAGAGAGAAAACACTCATAGTGTCATAACAGTAACACAACACATGAACACAAATAGCTCTTTTCCAGCAGTACCTACTCGACTCAACTCAATTTCAGAAGTTTTCCATTACAATCAAGTACCACCTAATGTGCGTGGGGTCATTATAGTGACACGGCTGAAAGTCCATTGACATCACATATCGTTTCACTTCACACCGCTTGGAACCTGAGCCAAGAAGGTACAAAAGTATATGAAGCTTATGCGTCAATTCAATAAGGAAGACCTATGGCCTCACATTTGTCCACTTCCAGGTGCTGCCGGATAAATCTAAACTTTATCACTTCCACTTTCCCACACTGTCAAGCTGTTTGTGTCATCACTGGTCTAGTCCAATCACCTTCTTCCGGCCTTCTCCAGACCAATCAGCATTTACGCTGCTTGCTTTATATCTCACTGCCCATCCGTTTTTCTTCTTCCCAGATGTCGCACAACCCACCTCTTCCCCATCTCCAGCTGTCATCATTCAAGCTCCATTCAAGCCACCTTCCTCTCCATCACCAGCATTTAGGCTCTAAGGGGTCCTGCTATTCTCTTTCACGGGTTCCGTCCTATTCTGACCCCTTGAACCTGCACTGCCAAAGCTCACTGGATCACCTCCATTATGTAAAAATGGCAAAACATTATCTTGGATTTCACTTTGAGCAAGCTCCAGGGAGGTAAATCTAACAAATGAGCAGTTGGTGAGGGCCAATAATTTTAGTGTGGCCAAAAAACTCCATAGTTCCAGCTGTTTCCACTGAACGTCCTCCATCAGCCACCTTAAGACAACACAGCTAAACCTCACACTGACAGCCTGTTTCTGGTTTACTAATTCATGTGGACAATGTCCTGAACATTAAAAACAACAATGAGCAACCTCATCATCATGCTCCTGACCCTCTGGCTTTCATTCATGCAGACAAGGTCTCATTACAAGTGATGAGCCTCATTATGGGTCAGTATGACACAGAGGTTGTTGTCTGCTCTTTGTTCAAGTCTGAGGTTAAATTGTTAAAAAAAAAAAAAAACAGGTGCTCAAAATGGGACATTACATGAGCAAAAAACCCCAAAACAACAACAACAACATCATCTCCAGTGCCCTTAAAGTGGTCCAGATGTACAAGAGAAAATGACTTTTAGAGGGAGATCAGGCAAAATCAAAATCAGATAAGATTTTTAAATTTCATGGGTGTGACTTAATCACATCAGACACATTTATGTTACAATAAAGAACCTCGACATGTAAAGGTTTTCATTAAGATGCCTTCGAGCTACCTGGCCTGTAGGTTTTCCAAACTCTCAGTGAGAATGAAGGGGTTGTGTGAGATAATATAGCCGAAGCGAGAGTCCTCCACGCCGATGTCTTTGAGAAACAGTAACCGCGGGGTCACATCTGTGTTGAAGTTGAGCCTCAGCAGCATGGAGCCTACATTAGGCCTTTGTTCCAGCTTCCACAAGTTCACCCCTGCAATGAGAAGGGGTGGGTGAATGATTAGAAATAACAACATTTGGGTTCAGATTTTGAAGATGAGGTTTTACTGTGATTCCAAAGTGGTTATTTTGATTACCTAGTTGTACCAACTTGCTAAGCGTCTCAGACTTATCGACATAATCTCTAAGAGTGGTGGAGACTGGAGGGATGGCAGAGGGAACAGATATACTGATGGCCTCTTCATCACTGATCTCTTCTAAAGCTGAAGGCTGAGCCACAGGATCCAAATCTGCTTGATAAAGAAATTACAGATGAGCAGATTCCAACGTGATACAAAAAACCCTTTAAATTAATAAACAATCACAGCAGCAAGCTACTACCTACCTAATGATATATGACTATTTTCAGTAGTTAGTGCAGCATCTCTGGTTGGTAACAGTGAGGTCTTGTGTGCTCCAACATTAGTTCTTGACAGCTCTTGTGTATTCGTGCCTTCCTTTGCCTCAGTTGTCAGATATTTAGCTGCTGAGTCACTGTAGAAGCAAATCTGTTGTTTCCACCTCAGTCTTGTCAGCGTTGTTGCTGTTGTGTGATTCCCCCTGATCGATAATCCACTAATAACTTTTGTTGGTACTCTTGTCACCTTAATCCGCTGCTGAACCCGAGTGTAATACTGCCAGGTACTGCTCACCGTCTTAGAGTAAAGAGGACCCGTGCCTCTTAGACACAGCTGTGCACAAGTAAAGGCCATGGTTATTCTGTAAGAAATGAACATGACATATTTTAGAGGCATACTATGCAACATACAGTAGTGGGAAAAGATCTTCATTGTCATTCCTTTATATTTTACTTTCAAGTAGCCAGACTTTCTTGTAATTTTTAAAGTGGTCTTGAGCAATAGTTCTTCAGGCTTTCAGAAGGTCTTTCACTTTGTTTTCTTTGGACATTGGCTGCTTTTTCACCGATTTTAAGCCAAGTTGTTTTTAATCTGGCCTTCAGGGAAATGTTTTTATTTCCCTCATTTTAACACGGACAAACGAATCCTTCCACCATAAAAAGGCAGATGACTCAAGGGACCAGTGTTGTGTCTACACATTTTAGACAAGGACCAATTTTAAATGTATCTTTAGGCACTTTGTAACGAGCAGCCTGTCACAAAACACATCACTTGTTTCCATTTCTTTAGTTGAAAAATACAGAGGGTAACACAGTTTTACAAGCACAAATTTGTATTTTTATACCAGGTGATTCCCAAAGAGCTATTAGCTGAAGACCTGGTGTGTCTCAGCATGGTTTGCAGTATGCCCTCACAAAAAAATCTGAGGAAACTGGACAAGTGGGGGACAAAAGAAGTGACGGTCCTTAAGGACCTGTCGTGTCACTAAAAGATTGCCAATTGCAAAAGTGCTTGGGTGCAGTCCTCTAAAATCTCAACTGTCACTGTGCATCGGTCAAATGTTGATTGGTTGACAAGTGGGCTAGAACTGGGAAAGGATCAACAGTGGAGTTCACCACTGTCACGGACAGCCCTGCTCAGCGTGATGGTGTGTTTTTCAAAAAGACAAAGATGAAATGCTCGTGTCATTCATATTTACAAAAACCTTAAGTCATTAATATATACTTTTCCCCGGATTAGCTAGCTATGCAGATAGCTCGGTTAATGATTTGCTGGCCTACGAGAGGCTAGCTGGACACGGTTACATCGTTGTATGCTAGCAGAATAATACTTCTTTAAATCCAGTTTAAATCCAGCGTCAGTACATAGACCTTTCTGTTGTCTTACTCACTGTTTATGAATCAAAGCATTTTCTTCTCTGTCCTGCAATGTCAAGTATTTTCACGTGCGCGCTAACGGAAGTGCTCCACGTAAACGTCACTTTATGGGACGTGCCACAACGCCGTGTTTGTACGCATACCTGATGTCTTTTTTTATATTTAGCAGATAAAAAGTGTCATACATACAAAATTAAAAACATAACATAATATTACTACGGTTAAAAATGCTCTGCTGTAGTTTATAACCTTTGCTCTGGGGAGTATTACAAAACTCTTTGGCATACCACGCCCCTACGATCAGGCTTGGTTCAGTCCGTCTTCAAGGTTCCTGATTGTTGGTCTGTTTTTACGTCACCCCTCATAATTTCACAACTTTTAGTGTTCACGGATAAATTTGCATCGCAAAAAGTTAGGAGGAGGCATTTGTCTCAGCGACATGGCAGCTACGATTGGACCCCGAATACCGAGGAAGGACGATGCGAACTATAACTTACATTTCCGAATGATAAACGAGCAACAAGTGGAGGATATCTCCATGGACTTCTTCTATAAGCCGCACACCATCACTCTGCTGACAGTCACTGTGCTCAGCCTGATGTACTTTGCCTTCACCAGGTAAATAACAAGCTGAAATTGTACGTTGCTGTTTGCAATTGGTTTAAAAAGCTTCGTGTTTTAGTTCACACCCGAATTTGTGCCGCGACAGGGATGATGAACACACAGATAACAACCTCCGTGTCGGTTTGTTGGTAGTCGTCTTCTTCTTCTTGGTCATCAGTGTCCTGGCCTTTCCTAATGGTGAGTTAATAACTACTCATAATAACATTCCTTTAGTGGATGGTCGATTGTGATAAAGTCACCGTGTGGATCTGAAACAGTGGATTCATTAGTACTGCTTTGATGATTAATTACTAGTTTAATCGCTTTTACGGAGTTACTACTTTTCTGGCTACAAGTATTTTCAGTTTTTGACTTTTGGTTGATTGAATTAGGTGACTGTAAAATATGAAACCAAATCTGTCAGTTTTTGTCATTTTAAAAATATGGCTCGATCTGCCTGTATTCAAATCTGTCAAATCTGTCATCTTAGCCAGACCAGAATAGACTTGATTAAAAAATAGATTTTACCCACGAAATAACTAAATTTGATTAATTACTGTAAGAATATGTCTTCATTTATCAGTATATGCATACTTTATGTTATAAACTACCATTAAAGTGTAGCTTTAAAATAAATGTAGTAAGCTCTTTATAGTTTGTTAACTAAAGCTAGAGACTCAAGATTACCTGTTAAAACTCAGTTAGCTGTTTAATCAGATTGTCATACCTGTATTGTTGTATGCATCAGAGATGTGGGGCCATAAAGACATTTCCTTCATGGCCTCATGGGTATCTTTGTTTGTCTGAATGCAGTTGTTTTTAAGTTGCAAATTCAGAAATCTATATTCAGAAATATGTATATATATAATCTTAAAGATATTACTGTGCAAAAAAGACATTGGATCTGTATTTTCCATGATCTCTTTATTATAAATAGTACAATCACCTTATGATGCTTTCTGTTTCAGGACCCTTCGTTAGGCCACACCCTGCAATATGGCGAATGGTGTTTGGTGGGTGTTTAACTTTTCTGCTAAGATATAGTTCTCATGTAGCCTTATCGTCACTAACTCACTTTTCTCCTGTGTTGGGTAGGTCTCAGTGTGCTCTACTTCCTGTTTCTTGTCTTCCTTATCTTCCTTAACTGGGACCAAGTGAAGACTCTAATGTACTGGCTCGACCCAAACCTCCGCTATGCAAAACGGGAGGCTGATATCATGGTAAGTATAGATTAGATTAGATTAGATTAGATTAGATAAAACTTTATTCATCCCTCGGGTGGGTTCCTCTGGGAAATTTTGTTTTCCAAAAAGCACAGCACCGACAGAAGTTACAGAGTT